ATTGATTCCAGAATTTTTTATCTAAAAGTTCACAGAAACAGAAATAATTTTACTGTTCCTGGAAAACACCGACAGAGGAAAGGAATTAAATTTTTGATCGGCAATTCGCTTTGATAAAATTAACTAACTTAGAAATAAACGGTTTCTTGTAGTATTCTGCACTGTGCACATTCAATGAGTTCTAGAACTTTGTAGCTCAAGGTAATATTTCAAAAATCGGGCTGGGGACTTTCGACATGTTTATGTCTTGAAAGAAAGTTTAAATCTCACCATAACAGCCTCCGCCGGTTATAATAAGTTCTAGAAATTTGTAGCTTAATGTTTACCTGAAGGCAGAATTACCTGAGTTTCATTCTGAATTAGTTAATTTCTTGAAGACAAATCACAAACCAATCGGAAACTAATTTTTTTCACTTTTTTTGAAACAGTTATTTTTTGTTAACGATAATCGCGTTTTTTTAATGAGAAACAGGAAAATATCGTTCAAACGGTTTCAACTAAATTATACTGATGAGTTGGTACATTGTCCAAGTAATAACGAAATAATTGTTTCCTGTTTCAGTGAACTTTCAGCTATAAATTTCTGAAATTGAATACAATGGGCAAAGCGCTGACAAGTGAGATAATAAAATTTATTTTAACAAAGTGATCGCAAAACTAGGTTCACTTTCTTCCCTATATATAAAACGTTAAATGCGTCTGACTGTCCCGATGAGGATCTGTCGACTTTTGAAAAACTTTTAAAATAAATATAGATTTACGTGACCCTTTAAGAAAAAAATAGGAGTGGAGCGACGAGCCAGTAAAAAACTATATTAAATCGCGCCAAAGGCGCACCAGCTTGCTGGAAAATGTCCGGCCAGGCCCGTGATTTTTCCAGTGTTACTTTCAGCTACTAATTTTCAGTACTCACCATAATTTGCATTTATTTCTGTTTCAGTGATCGTTTAGTTATAAACTTTTTAAACTCATTATAATAGATTCGTAATTAGTTTAAAGGTGGTGTGCGGTGAAAAATTTTATTGCTTTATTTTGTGCAGAAATCCATGTAGATTCACATAAAAATAAAGAAAAAATTCAAAAAAAAATCCTTCATTGAGAAAAACGGCATCGAAAAGTCAAAGTGGGAACCGATGGCCTAGCGGCCAGGTGTGAGTTTTCCAGGCTAACTGCCGGTAAAAGCGCGCGAAATTTGAATTTTTATTGATTTTCAGTGTTTGCTCAGATTTTTGTCAGGTTTTTTTATACACCATGTAAAAAATTGACAAAAACATTTTGAAATCTTTAAAAAACATCAGAGAAAACATT